AAAAAAAAAAAAAAAAAGAAAAAAGAAAGTTTTTGCAAATCACATGAGGATCCAGTATTCACAATATACATATAAACTCCTGGCTAGGAGTGGTGGCTCATGCCTGTAATCCCAACACTTTGGGAGACGGAAGCAGGAGGATTGCTTAAGGCTAGGAGTTCGAGACCACCACGGGCAACACAGTGAGAGCTCGTCCCTACAAAAAATTTAAAAAATTAGCCAAGCGTTGTGGCGTGTGCCTGTAGTCCCAGCTACCTGGGAGGCTGACGTGGGAGGAGGCTTGAGCCCAGGAGTTTGAGGCTGCAGTGAGCTATGATCGTGCCACTGCACTCAGCCTGGGTAAGAGCAAAAGCCCATCTCTAAAAGAGAGAGAAAAAAACGGTTACAACTCAAGACAAATATTCAATTAAAAATAGGCAAGAGATTTGAACAGACTCCTCTCCAAAGAAGATACACAAACGGCCCGTGAGCACAGGAGATGTTCAGTACCCTCGACGCTGCTGTGGACATGTGTGCACGAGCTTCCACATGGACAGGTTTTCACCTCCTTTGTTTTATGCGTCGGAGGGGAACTCCATGGATGAGCCCTGAAAACAGAATGCCAAGTGCAAGAAGCCAGGCACAAGCGGCCACATGTCGTATGAAAAGCCAGAAACAGAAAGCAGATGAGTGAACGGTTCACTGGCCTTTGTGTTTGTGTTAAAAACAACATTTGCATAAAAGTGGGTTTCCCAGAGTTCCTCTGAGTGGTCACCTCCCAGCTGGGGAATGCAAGCTCTGAAAGCTGAGCTGCACGCACACGCTGTCAGTGCTGAACCCCGCACCACGACACGCACTGGCCTCACGAGGACTCGCAGATGCCCTCTGGAGCAGGACTGCTGCCTGTGTTCACATCTCCGGGCCCGAGGGCCTCTTCTACGAGGACAGACCCATCACCAGATGACGACGAACCCTGTCGCAGCAGCACGGCCAGACCTTCAGGGCATTTCAATGTGCCATTTCTTTACATCAAACACAGTAATAGCCAAAGCACGGTTACTGCCCAGACCCACGCCCACTCTGCTGTCCTGAGACACTGGCAGAGGGAGAAGGTGCTAATGGCCAGTGCACTGGGCCCAGCTCTCTAGTTCAGTGCATAGTTAAACTGGTTTGAAAACTTCTCGTGCTTCTTCTGGTCCATCTGGTTCATGGCTGTCATGACCCTCCGCACAGCTGCTCTGTGGGGAAACAAGGCAAGATATGACCTGGGAGGCTTCCGCCAGGGGCCTGGGCTCCCAGTGGTGGCATCACCAGGGTTATGCACTGGTCCTGGGGCAGCTGCTGCCCTTGGATGCTAACTGCCTGTGGGTGCCACCTTCAGAGAAAGATGGGCGACAGGACCTTTCGCCCTGTTCCAAGACAGAGGCAGGCTTGGAAAGGGCCACCCAGGTCCCAGAGCTGGGGTCTGTGGCGGGTCGTTCTGCGCGGTGAAGGTGGCCCCAGCCCCACCTTGGCACTTCTCCTGTGGCCTCCCACACTCCATGATGAGGGCACAGCTTCCCTCTTGGTCTCCTGGGGAGTGGCCTTGCAGGAGATGCAGCCAGGAGGCATCAGGACGGCCCTGCCCACGGCTGCACACACAGCTCTACAGCCAGGGATGGAAATGTGGAGGGCCGCAGCAGGGAGGGCGTGGGCAGGGCAGGCACTCCGGGGAGCGGGATGAGGTGTGCTGTGCTGACCAGTTCAGGTGCCACGACACACGAGGGTGTGTCAGCAGGGCCTGAGGCCACAAGGTGGTGAAACCTCTGCTCAGCTGCGGCCCTGTGGGGCTGCCAGGCATTGCTATGGGGGCCCCTCAAGGCAGGGTTTCGCCTGTGGTCACCCCAGGTCCTTTCTGTGGGGAGGGCTCTGGGCCACACAGCTGCTGTGAAGAGCCAGCTCCTGCCATGGGCTTCACTGTCCCCATGAGACACAGGGAGGAGGCCTGGCACGGGGCCACTGGCCGTGCCTGCTCCTGGGCATCAGCACCCAGGCTGGCCTCTGCCCCTGGCTGGTCCACAGGAAAACAGCCTCATCGTGAGCTACCAGGGGCCAAGGCGCCTTGTGTGGTTGGCTGACGTGATGGGTCCAGCTCTGTGCCAGGGGCCCCAGGCAGCCTCTCCGCAGCCCCCACCAGCACCCCTGCCCCACCCAAGCAAGGCTGTGGATGCACCACCCACAAGCCCAGGGGATGCGTGGTCTGAGCGCTGCGAAGGCACCTCCCGCCCGAGCCCACTCAGGCTGGTGCAAGGTCATGCTGGCCAGGAGGGGCCGCCTCTGCCCGGCGCACTCAGCACCTTCCAGGGGTGTCCAAGGGAGGGTCTCTGGGACGGCGATGGGTGGGGCCACCTCACTGGCGCTACCAGATAAACCTGCACCAGCAGGGACTTGGCACAGATGTGGGAGGGAGTTAGCAGCCTCAGGTGGCTTCTAAGCAAGCATTCTGGATTTTCTTGGGCGAGAAAAAGGCAATATGAAGACAGAAACAAGGCCGTGTGGGTGGCTGATGCCCCAGCGGACAGACCGCATGCAGGGATGTCGGGCTGGTGGGCTTTGCACTCTGGCCCTGCCGAGGCCTCACCAGTCACACAGGCCCACGCTGGGCTGCAGAGACACCAGGCCAGCCTCCCAGAGCCAGTGCTCAGAGCAGCCACGCTGGGACTGGGCTCTGCTGGGGCTGATGCGTGGACCTCTGTTGTGGCCACCTTTGCAGTCACCACCCTCCCTGAAGTCACCGCTGCAGAAATACGCAGGCACTGACCTGGGGGCACAGCCAGGCAAGGGAGAGACGAGGGGGCTCACTCTGTACCAGCCAAGGCCTGTGTCATGACACGGCTCCCCAGGAAGCGAGGATGACGGTGCCTGGCAGTCGAGCCCCTCTTATCCTGGGGAATGCTCAGGGGCATTCCTGACCAGACCCCGCCTGCTGCCCCTGCTGGCTGGCACTGCCCCTCCCAGGGGAAAGGCTGGGTGGTCCCCCAGGGGAACTCAAAGCAGGGGAGCCCCTGGAGGCCCCAGGTCCCTGGAATGTCTTGGAGCTCAGATGGCCCCCCTCGAACACCCTCACGCTGGGGCCACGCAGTGGGAGGTGACCCAGCAGCCACTCTTACTTGGCGAAGACTTTTCTCCCGATGCGAGCGCGGGCAGTGTCGGCCTGAGCCTTCAGGTTGGTGAGGCTGGGGTACCTCCTCTTCTTCCCCCTGCCTTTCCCGCTGTACCTGGACGAGCCAAGATCCTGCCCTGTGGCTGCCTCCACGTCTCTCATCAACTCAAGGTCCTGCCATTCTGCAAACAAAACTCACGCACTTCAGGAAACAGCTGGCACTGACCACAGCCCGTCTTGCCCGAGGCCCCCAGGAGGGGCTCCTGGTCTCGTCCTGACAGCGGGGCCGGGGGGGCTTGCCTACAGCCGTACCCTGGCACCAGCAAGCCTGAGAGGACGCTCGACGGGCAGGGTTCCCTGAGCAACAGGCTGGGGAGGGTGGGCACGCTGGTCCCCGTGGGGTGAAGGTGACACAGAGCTCGTTCCCACCGCCCCACACCCCCACAGGCCCCTGCCGCCCAGAGATGGGGAGCTGGGGCTGGGCCCAGAGGCCACTGCTAGGGCACCCATGGACCTCCCAGGCTGGAAGGTGGCCAAGGCCAGTGGTTGGCGGTTGGTGCCATCCGCAAGCTACTTCCTTGCCTGAGGGCTGGACCGTGCCCCACTAGGCCAACTGTGCCCTGCTGGACCCGCCTGCTGGTGGGGAGGTATGTGCGGCAGGGCTGGGCCAAGCATGATGCTCAGCAAAGGGCTTTTCTTTTTCGTTGATCCAAAGATGACCTGGCCTCAGGCCTCAGAAATGCAGGGTGGGGCTCTCCTAGACAGAACTGCCCTTCCCAAGCAAGCCAGGCGTTGTCTGCTTGAGGCCCTGTGGCCGTGAGGGGACACAAATGTCACCAGCCCCACTGAGCAGCCTCCCAGGCTGACAGCACCCACTGTGCAGATGGGCACCGAGGTCCTCAGGGGTCACAGGCCCAGGCTTCCTGTGGGGTTCCCCACACAAGGCGGAGGAAGGCCTCCACCAGGCGTGGTACTGGTCGGGCTCAGAGAGGCCACCCAACGGGACTGTGATGGCCGAGGGATTCACAGACAAGCCCGGCTCGCAGAAGGGGGCTGGGCACTGATGCTCCAGAGGCACCCGCTCCTGCAGACAGGACCCCATGAGCTGAGCCAGTGGGACCAGGCCACGGGGGCGACCAGGCCACGGAGGCACATCCCTGAAGGGATGCCTACGCCCCGGACTGATGGCCAGGCCTCCCAAGCGGATTCTTTGAAGTGAAGGAATACGGGGCCCACAATTCAGATACAGGAACGATTAATCCAAGATTAAGGAAAACTGTCCAAACAGTTTATCTCCCAGTAATGAGAAGGCGTCACAGTTTAGGAACCCAGTGAATGGAGCAATTGTTTAAACACAACGAAAAGGCGCCGGCACCCAGTAGAGATGGAGCGAGCGTCTCAGTGAAATGAAGGAGCAATTTAAAAGCCTTTGAGGAAAATCAATAGATGCTGGGAAGCGCCTTCCTGGGCGCTGACGGGCCCTGCAGCACACGCACATTGTCACTGAGGTTAGCGCCAGGGAAAGGAAAATTGCGCCGTGCGCGAGGGAGGCGGGGATCAATACTGTAGTTAGTAAAGAGATGCTATTTCACATCTGACTGGCCAGCGCTGGCCGCAGCCCGCGGCCTGATACCTGTTTGTTAACAAGTCACCAAGGGCTGGAAAACCAGATACTCTTCAGGGTTGACACAAAAAATAGGCACTTAATTTGCTCCTGAGTGTGAGTCCCCAGGGAAGGCCTCACCCAGAGACGAGCAGGTCAGGGCCCTCCCACCGCCCAGGGCCGAACTGCTGCCTCTGGGCTTCAGGCTGCACTCAACATCCGCCTCTCATGACCGGAGTGCAAGATGCCCAGGAGCCATGACAGAGACGGCTTGGAAGGGCCCCTGGGCCCCCAGCACTGCTCTTCAAGACAAGGTATGACCCCCGCTTCAGGCCAGGGCCAAGCCTGCAGGCGTGGCCACTCTCCAGAGGGACTGAGGCTGGGCAGGGCTCGCGCCTGTCATCCCAGCGCTGTGGGAGGTGAGGCAGGAGAATTGCTTGAGTCCAGGAGTTCAAGACCAGCCTGGGCAATACACTCCACCTCTACCAAAAATAAAATACAGAACTTAGTCGGGCACGGTGGCATAGTAATTCCAGCTACTCGAGAGGCTGAGGCAGGAGGATGGCTTGAATCTGGGAGGCCATGATTGCGCCACTGCACTCCAGCCTGGGTGACAGAGAACGACCCTGCTTCAAAAAAAAAGCCAAATCAGATTTAAAAAGGAGAGAGAGAGTCTGAGGCTGGCCAGGGCCTCTAAAAACAAAGTCTTCCTTGGAAAACAGAAACGCACCCCCACCCGGGGATGAGCCTTCGGGGAGGCATGGGGGGCAGATGAGCCCGGCGGGAGGCAGGGCAGGCAGATGGGCCCTGCTGACATGGCAGTGCTGCCCCACAGTGGCCTTGCCGTCCAGGGGGCACCCGCACTCCTGCTGCCATAGCAGTGGCCACACGCCTCCTGGACAGAGCTTTGACCACTTGCACACTGAGGCAGGTGCGGGGCATGGCTGAGGAGGCCAGAGGGGTTCCTGGAAGTCACTCCGGGCTCAGCCCAATCAATTCTCTCGCCTCAAGGCCTTCACCTGCCTGAAAACACGAGGAAGCAGGACCCAGCCACACAGATGGCACCTGTGGCTTCGGGGCCCTGGGTGCCCACCTCCCGGTCGGGGTCTCATGAACACGTAACTCCCCCTGAAGCCGGAGACTCCTCTGGAGCTCCCAAATCCAAGACCTTCGGGGCAGCGTCCCCTCCTGATTCCACCAGTTACGACCGAGGGGCGTGTAGCTCTGTGGACTGAGCTGGCAGAGTGGGTGCTCTATGACTGCAGATGCGCCCCAGGCAGCCAGTGGCAGTGAGTCCCAGGCTGTGCCTCCCATGGCGCCCGCCCCACCTGCCTGCCCAGACCTACCCGGGCGCTCCTGCTTCTGCAGCTGCCGCCGCTGCTCGCGAGCCCTGTCCTCCGGGTCGAGTGGCCTCCCTTCGTCATCCCTTGGAATGATCTTCCCGTGGAAAGGGCACTGCACAGCGAGGACATGGTGGCTGACAGCGGGGAGGGTCCACCCGCCTCGACCACCTGCCCCCACCGCGACTCAGGCACAAACAGCGACCAGGGAGGGCAGCATCGCAGAGCCAAAGTGTAAACAACCCTGGAATCCTCAGGGGAGGGCGTCCTGAGAGTCGTGTGGGTGGCTCCGTCCTCCCCCCGGAGCTGGGAGCTCTTGGGCAGCTGTGGAGAGTTTAGGCCTCCCTCACGCCAGCATGGCCACAGCAACCCCCCTGCACCATGCCCAGCTGCTAGGCTGGGAGCTGCCCTGGCCCCCCGGCCTCTCCTCACTTTTGAGGAGCCCAGGCCCAGCACAGACCCGGGCTGCAACCATGGAGGACACTGTGTGTCTCGGTCCCTGGAGAGTCCCCAGGCTGTGTACCCAGGTGTCAGGCTTCAGGGCCCTGGGCAGGAGCCCCAGACACCATTCTGATGACCAATGGCTGAGCAATTTCTGCCCACCACGGACAATTTCTGGCCCACCATGGGCTTCTCAGTGCTTCCCTACCCAGGGCAGGGGCAGGTGGGGCTCAGCACCCCTCCTGCTGCCCCACCCTGGTCCAGCCCACGCCCACCCCTGCCCTCAGGCCACGGCCTCACCTTCAGCCGATCTTGGCGCTCACAGAGCCGGCCGTCCGGCCTCGGGGCACGACACCTGTGCTGCACAGGCTCAAACCTCCCTGCAAAAGTGATGTGGCGGCTCCGGAGCATCTCAGAAACGTCGGCATTGACCACTTCCTCCTCCACCTCGCTGGGCTTCCAGAAGCGGTGCTCGGAGTCAGATCTGCAGACAGAGCCAGAGGCCCTCAGAGCATCTGCAGGGATCCCAGAGGAGCGTGGCCAAGGTGGTGCAGGCACAGGAGAAGGCCAAACCACCGCAGCCCAGCCACCCCACCCTGCAGACAGCACCCAAGCAGGAGAACATGGTCACTCCTGCCTGGGTCTGAATTCTGATGCCACATGAACCAGCTGCGAAACCATGGGCACAACTGCCACCTGCACGATGGGCTCTCCCTACAGGGAAGGGCGATAGCTGCTGGGTCCTTGAGGCGTGACCTTGAAGGTTTACGGGACATGCACACGAAGGTCGTCTTTCCACTGCAGGAGCGTAAGGACAGGGCGGTAGCGCACCCAGGAAAAGGAGTGGAGGCTGTTCAGCCCTCGGCAGCACAGAGGGACCAGGGGCTGGAGACCAGACTCCGTGGCCCTGGGTTTCCCAGGAGTCCCAGGTCTCCCAGGCGGGTCCGGTCCCATGTTCTGCTGCTGTCACCAGCCTGATTAGAGATGCTTTCCTGTGGATGCCACAGGATGGGGGAGCTGGGTGTGCTGGCCTCAGAGGAGGCTGGCCTCAGAGAACTATGCCCGCTGCTCACCTGGATGCCCAGGCAGACGAGAAGTGTCTGAGGGGAACTCACACAGACCCGACTGTCCCTGTGCTGCCACCAGGCCTCCTTCTAGGGCATACAGCCACACTTGGGGCCAGCAGGAACCCGGGAGGACAGATGGACAGTGCCAAGGGCTCCCAGTGATGAGAGACACCACTCACCGCCTGCTGACTGGGGAACGGTTGGCTCTGCCCAAGGCTCCCGGGCTGCCACACCCTGTGCCCGAGGGTGCTGGAGGAGCAGAGCCCAGCAGCCCTGCCCTCACCCCGGGTTCACAGACAGGAGCACGGCCCCAGGCACGGCCCACACTAGGGAGAAGGGACTAGCAGGAGGCCCCGCCCTGGGGCTGCCTGGACCTCATTTCTGCACCCACCTTGGTCTGGGATGAGGCTGGGGTGGGACAAGGCAGTGGGTGGGAACGCAGGCAGAAGGTGCTGCCTGGGGCCTTGGCCCCACTACAGGGACAGGCATCTCGGGCAAAGCCCTGGTGGGCTGAAGAACACCTGGCCATGTGCCCTGCAGTCAGGAGGGGTCCATGCGGCTCCCCCGAGGGTGCCTGACCGCCTGGCCAAACGCCTCCTGCCACACCAGGAGAGGCCCCGTGTGAGAAGCAGCGATGCCTTCTGCCACCCAGAACTCGGACCAGAGACGCCCTGTGGACTGCACTGACCCGGCGCACAGCAGCCACACCACGGGCTCCACTGCTTCCTCCCCATCCAGGCGAAGGGATACTCCCCTCAGCTGCCCTCGGCCCAGGACCACTGGCTTTCTTTTTTTTTTTTTTTCCAGACAGAGTCTTGCTCCGTCGCCCAGGCTGGAGTGCAGTGGCACAATCTCAGCTCACCGCAACCTCTGCCTCCCAGGTTCAAATGATTCTCCTGCCTCAGCCTCCTGAGTAGCTGGGATTACAGGCACCCACCACACCCGGCTAATTTTTGTATTTTTAGTAGTGACGGGGTTTCACCATGTTGGCCAGGCTGGTCTCGAACTCCTGGCCTCAAGTGATCTACCTGCCTTGGCCTCCACAAAGTGCTGGGATTACAGGCATGA